TCCTTTTTTAGGTTCTGTCAGCACTGAGTAAACCAGTTTATCTCGGATAATTTTAAACCGAATCTGACCTCAATTGTTGCCAATGTGGAATAGGCCTGACTGCGTAAAGAATGAAAAAAGTAACAGTTTGATGGAATAAAGTTGGTCTGCATTTTTTATATTTTTTGAATAGTCATTTAACGAGTTAATTTACTGAAAGGTGACTGAAACCGTTCAAAGGTTTCCTGGGGGAATACGATAATTGACCAGATTCCTTACGGGATACAAACACACACGACCTCCGGGATACTAAAACATTGTAACTCAGTGTTACAGATTACCAGCACGTGAAAAATAGAAAGAGAGCAATTTCGCATGTGCACAACATAAGTCCAGGGGCAGACACCTATTGCACTGACAAGCACATTCCTAGCACAACATTCCAAAGATAGGAAGGTTGAGGTAATAACAGAGAGATGCGTAGCGATTTACCCTTGTTTATTCATCTGAAGAGGAAAATGCACTGGCGAAGTAAGAGTTTGATGGCCAACCAACTGAACAGCTTTCGTGTGACGGAATGGACCGGGTCGGGGTTGAGTCCAATTGGAAGGAAGAACAAAATAGCACCGACATAAAAGGGGCAACATTTTACCTTGGTTTTTATGCGACCAGGGCGAAAAGATACGTTACCACAGATGGTTGGATCATACACAGCAGCAGCAGCAGCAGCAGCAGCAGCAGCAGCGGCAGCAGCAGCAGCAGCAACAGTTACCACACATTTAATTTTATCCACCATACACAGACTATTGTGCAATCAATTTTAGAGAGAGAGAGAGTAGTTAATCAAAGATTGTATTTAAACCTAGAGAAATTGGAAATTTTGAAGCTGATTGTAGATATCAAAAGCAATATATTCCAGTTGATGAGAGAGACAGAGTCCGATGAACTAGTTCCTCAATCACACATGACCTGGATTGCAGATGTCAATGCTGGGAACAGGAAAGACCGGACTAAATCTCACGGAGTAACGTAATTTAAATACAGTTTAATCGAAAGAACCATAGGGAAAATACAATGAAATACATGACAACTTTTTGTAACTTATTTTTATCAGATCACTGCTAGTCGTACTCTATTATATCAGGCAAAGCACAAGTAAAAACAAAATGAAGAACAACGATGAAGGAGTGGGAGTGGGGTTAACACAACCACATAACCCAACGCTTGAACAGAAATATGCAAAAATCACTTATAACAAGCGGTATTAGGCAAAACGATCTCCCTGGAGTAAATCATCTACCCAACCACCGAAATCGTCATAAGCAATCAGATTGAATAAGTATTTTGTAACCTGCATAGTTTCTCACCTTTGACCTCTAAAATAGACACGAATTCTCTGTTTGTGGATCCGTTACACTAGGATTTAATTTCCGTCATATATTATTATACAGGCTTGAAGATGAATGTATTGATATTCAAGGTTTGCACACTACTCGCATTTTGTTCGAAGTGATGAACACATTTTCGATCAATAAATAGGTTTTCGAGAGGCGGTGAATTGAAATAGCCAGTCCAGGTTGTGGTCGTGAAGGTAGCTGCGTTCAAAGGTAAAAGGTCCACAAAGATATTGTAGTCATCCCAGTAAATTTGTAGTTGCAACGCACAAATTGTTTTATCGTGCTTACTGATGATTAAAGCTCCGTTCCGGCGGAACCTACTTTCCATTCTGCTAATCTAAAAAGTTATGTTTTGTCAGCGTGGATTTCCGTATCACGCATGTGCTAATGAGCTACACACTGCGAATTTTTGCCGCCGAGAGAGAGATATAAGGATAGATTTTTTGAGAGTGGTTAACGTATATTCATTTAGAATTAATCTATTGATCGGTGAGTGATTCATGGCAGAATAACCAGCATTGGATAAATTTAGTGCCGACTAAATGCTGAGCGTGTCCACTGTAAATTCGTTTACTTAACAGAAGGGCCAAAGTCCGAGTTTTATTATTAGAAATACTTACAAGCGGTTACTTTTCTAGTCCCATTGGGCTTAGCACAGGGTAATCGATTCACGGTTCATAGCAAGTAGACGAATTTATATGGAAAACAACCAAATTGGCAGAAAAACCATTAAACTGAGGTATTTAGATAAAAAGTTAACCTGCAAATGTACATTCACTCGCTGAAGTATAATTTTTTGCACTTAGAACCTGACGATATTCTTTGCTTTTTTCATTTTTTTTGATGGTTCCTTGCCAAATGGGTCGAGTATCTTAGTTTCACAATGCGATTTCTCTATTCATCTTACATGAAGCTCTGTTAGAGTGATAGCATGACCTCTTTTATGTTGCATCATTCGGTCACTGAGTTGGATTGCCCCCTCTGCATATGTGATGTAACGAAATGCTACTTTTCACTGAACTGTTCAACAAATCAAAAGCGCTTCGAATCTTTATGATTTCACCGTTCTTATGTTGATCGATGTTTATCGTTCTCAAATGGACGCACACAAATAAAAATGACGCACGATGTTACGAGTGTATCGAAAAATCGATGCGCCATGTGCTGGTTTATTATAAATGTTATAATGCTGATAACACAGCGATGTCGGTAGAGAATTATATTCAACGACGTTTCGGTAACCATGGGTAACCCTTCTCAAGGCAGGTTTTCCAATCAAATGACTCAGAGGAAAGGATCACAAGTCTACCGATATTTTATCGTGTGTCTCCGTGTGTGTGTGTGTATATACGGTTGGCTGAAAGATTCGTAGTCTGTTATACTTACTCCCATTATCAAATGGGGTCAAGTGGCACCGTGACCTTTGTCATGATTACGCGTTAGGGATGTTAGGGTAATCAAATGCTCGGGATCTCGATTCCGTCGTTTCTGTTGATACACTTGTTGATTTGATACAGCCTAATGACAAAAAAGACCGTGTAGTCTTTATTGGTATTCCGTACAGGACAGGCAGTTCAAAAGCAATCAGAAAGATTCTAGGTGATTTCAACATACACATTCTTTGGGATTGACAACACACTGAAACGCCATTTCATGAAAGCCAGAGATCAAAATAACTGCATTTACAAAGTTAATTGTGACGAATGCGCACAGATTAATTTTGGCAGACCTGTGGATAACTCAAAACAAGAATAACTGAACATATGAGAAAAGAAAACCACCGACCTACGGACAAAGCAACTCTGGTAAAACTGGAATGAGACTCAGCGATCGCTCTTCCGCGATAGCCGAAGGCCACAGCATAGACTACTACATAGACTACACCCACTCTGCGCGTGTCGACAGAAACGACGGAATCGAGATCCTACCCTACCCTAACATCCTTAATGCGTAATCATGACAAAGGTCACGGTACCACTTGATCCCATCTGATAATGGGAGTTAGTATGACATTCGAATTATTTAGACCAACACCCCCCACACGATAAAATATCGGTAGACTTGTGATCCTTTCCTCTGAGTCATTTGATTGGAAAACCTGCCTTGAGAAGGGTTACCCATGGTTACCGAAACGTCGTTGAATATAATTCTCTACCGACATCGCTGTGTTATTAACATTATCACATTCGCAAAAATGACCCATATCTATCGATTGCTACTTGATTTTCATTAACTTTTGACTGAAAATTTTCTACAACATATCAGGTGTATGATTTAGGTCAACTGTTTGAAGTTGCGGTCTATGATCAAAGTTACTCCTGGGCATATTCGTTATTCTCTCATTCGATCTTCATAAAGTTCATAAAATGTCGTCAACCGACCTTACAGGCTAACGGTGTCACCATACCACAAACACTGTTTACATCCCATTAGCTGGCGATGAAAACAATTGAAATCACATATTTCTCCTCTTTGAACACATGAACCTTGGACACCATTTCTGTCATCTTTCAGTCACATGAAAATAAAGTTTAATACATTTAGTTAATTCTAAGAAGAGAAAACAAAATGTTAAAAAAATATAAAATTAAACCCAAAATGATTCTTTCTGAATCTCCCGGTCGCTTTTTCTTTCTTCACTCAATAATTCGGGGTGAAACACAGTGTAATCGTTTGATCATCAACAAGTGACGGTTGCATCCGGTTTAACATATATCTGTGCACCATGGCAACGGATGTGCCTCCCTCGAAAAAGTAAATGGCGTTTTTTATAACCACATTGTGAGATGAACTGGGAAGTTTATTTACTGGTAAAATAGAAAACAGTTTACTGATATCCAAAGTTTTCTATGGGTGTCAGTGGATGATAAACCAAGACTAATACAATTGAAATGAGGCCACATATACAGGTATTGACCAAGCTCGTGCAAAATACTAATTTTCATCACATTCGTTCCTCTCAATGCTTCGTTCTTCCAGCTTCATTCAAGGGATTAAATTTGCTATTGCCCCACGTCAGACGCAACATGTCTGATATAATACACACTTATGTCTTTGCTTCTATTAGCCACAATCTACGATTTCGCTATTTTAAAGATGGTTGCAGGTGCATCAGTCGTAAAATAACAAAGCTACAGTAGAAAACGTAACTAGAATTTATTTATTAAAATGATTTTTGGACTTCGGACAGGTATTTTAATTTCATCTCCACCATGCTCCATTTGCCCTTCTACACTTTTGAGCTCTGGAGACAGTCGCTTTAGCATGGAGTCCACCAAGTTGACTGCCAAACAGAATTTGCCAGTTTCCGCGAATACAAGCGGCACCCTAACTACTGCCGACCACTGCCGAGGCAGACAACTTATCCGAATAAATTAAAATCCCAGCTACCTCGCGATATTTAAATGAACTTGACATTGAACTTGACCTCTCCAGAGAGTGCATAAATGTGAAAAAATAATACTTAATTAGGTCTAACTGTTTTCTACTATCAACCTCAAGCGAGAAAATATACCAGCCTTCACCTGTGAAAAGTATCACTTCCGCGAAAGCATTTAAAGAGTAGCGCTCACCGAAAACCTCCCTTATCAATGCAAATATTTAGCGATATCCAGATTAGTGTGCAGGAGACCAATGACAAGGAGCTCAGTGTTTACTTTCCTTTTAACTCGTTAGGCACGATGAATATTTACTTCTTTTGACAGGTGAAACGAAATTTACTAGAAAACTAGGTCAGCAGATCAGCTTTCATCGAATGCTGATTTACTCGTTGGCCATTAGAGAAATGTATTTCCAAAATGAGAGTAATGTTTCACGAGTTTGATCTACACCTGCAGGCGGTAAGTTAGTACTGATAGGTAAACAGGACTCATGTGGACTTCTCATATTGGTCAGTAATGATTAACCACCTCATACACGCCCCTGTTCAACTACGTTTTACCTCGCTTCTTTGTTCGTTCTCACTCTCTGTCGCAGAATCTTTCGGAACAGCTGGCTGGGCTCGGAGAACCAGTCTTCTAACATGGTCGAACTGAGACACAGCTATCCACTGCAATCAGTACAGACGGAATGGTTCCATATGGCATTCGGTCACACGGAACGAGGAACTTTATATATCTCGGTGAATGGGAAACGTCAAGAGCTAACAACTGTTCAGGTGGGTATGACCGGTTCCGTCAGTCTGAGCTAAAGATTTTAACTAATTCAAATTTTTCACTCCAATAGAATCGTGTGGCAAGTTTAGTGAAGTAGGGTATTTGTTCAGAAACCTCAAAGTCTTCACGATAACTGTCTCAGAGATGATGAGTTAAAGCCCGGATTATCTTCATCAGCTATCGAATTGAATACAGATTTGGAGTATTTAAACGTCAAGGACGTAATCCTCGAGAAGAGTCATCGAAAACTGATCAGAATACTATTAAAAAATTGTCCTGAATTGTCAGGGGTCCCAGATTATTAGTACGTCAGATCAATAACCACTCATGTTTGGGTTTGAATCTTAGGGGATCCAGTGAACTTGTGCATCTGGTGATTTTTGTCCTACAGAGAGAAAAATCTATATATTGTATCGTGATCAAATTTATTAAAATTACTTACCTTTATTAGACACAACCGAGTTTCTAAACCGCTTTAGCTTTCCATTTGCTCATAGAACAATGTTCCAGTCCAGAGAAGACTCTACTCAAAGTAAACAAGGTGTTGGTGAAATCCAAATAGATTTCACACTACCAAACACTATCAGACTTTGTACGTTTCGTTAGTCTCCCCGGGGTACTTGTTTTTCATCATAGCACATTTGGGTAATATCCACTCAGATGAGTGAATCGCTGCAAACGGAAAGGTAAACATGCTATATGTTACTGCTTGTTCATTGCAAATGATTGTAAACTTTCACCAAGGTTTAACCAAATCCCTTAATGCTTTAGCCTTGACCCACATTTCTCTAGCCATAATCCACTGCTTTAGCCACAACCCGTAGTCGTTTAGCCTAGACGCACCAACTTTATTCATGCCGCTGTAGACGAGTCGAATCCAAAGTATCCGAATATTCTCATGTCAACTAATGTTGAAAATTTTATTTTCTGCAGATGTTGATGTTGCAAACCTTGGTCAAGAAATGAGTAAGTGCGGCTGTCATATGCTGCGCAGTTGACCGTCTTTATGATACCAAATCTTGCGTCACGAATTGATTGGAGAAGATTTAAACGATGCACACTTGGTACATCTCGTACTGCTTCAGTGTTTTCAATGAACCAATTTTTAATGTAGCGATTAATACGTGAACTACAGTAGTAAAACGCTTACCCATTTTTACTCACTGAAACGCCTTTTTCAGCGGTTTAACAAGAGATTGTATGATGAAAGAAATCGAATTTGGTGGTTCGTGTGTTCGTGAAGCAACTTTTCATGTATATACCTTACTGTGACGAAAATACACCATTATATGAATGAGCTGACAAAATATTACCGGATACGCATGCTCGGCTAGCGGCAAGAACCGTGAAACTGTGAAATTTTGTCTAGCCAATCATAAACTACTTATTATGATATATATATGTATACATATTTCATAATAAGTAGTACATGATTGACTTGGATTATTCTTGGTTCCCTCCCCCTCGATTCTGTACGAATGATTGGCAGTTGAAAGACATGTTTGATCGATTCACGCACACCGCTCACGTACCACCTGGGGAATTGTATTTTGGAGGTCATCCGGCAATGGCGCAACTAACACAGGATGCTCAAATTGGGAAGTTTGTTCAACGCAACTACGTCGGATGTATTCAGCATATACGCGTTCAAGGTTTGCGACTTGATCCGCGAAGAAAATCCTTTGTGGGCGATGCGATTGAAGGTTTTGGTATCGGTGAGTTTGTCAGATAATCGGAGTTTAAAATCAAGTGAATAAAAGTTAAATGAGGTTATCTGAATTTTGTGTTATCTGTTCAACAGACAACTCAAAACATCTGGATCATATAGTTATTTTAACAAATAACTTAACAAATGACTGATCGAGGGATCGGTTTCTCCCCGTTCGGTCAAGGTAAGGTAATAACAGAGATTCATTTTTGACTGACGTTTACGAATGACGCATTTGATATGTGTCTTCTACTCTTCCTATATGAGCTCAAAAGCAGTTTGCGAGAAATTCGTCTTTTCCAGGACCGTCCAATTACAGTGGGATGAAATAATCCCCATGCGTAAACCATTCATCAGTTGTTCATTATCACACTTCTACATATATTCTCACTCATTCACTCACTCACTCACTCACTCATTCACTCACTCACTCACTCTCACTCACTCTCACTCACACATACGCCTAATGAGAATATTGATTATCGTAGTTGCGTCATGATAACTTAGTTCATAAAATAATTTCGAGACTGGAATGAATACACTTAGGAAAGCAAGGCTCCAAATAATTTACTATTGATTCAGGGGTTCAGTCAACCGGAAGACAGTAAGTATTACGGGATAAATAGCCGTTATTTTTGAATTCAGGAAATATTGTTCACGGATACAGATTCTGAAATGCAGTTATTTCATAGAGAGAATATGCTTCTGTCCCGCGAGAGCAAAGAGAAAAATGCGGTACGAAGAAAGCGATTACTTCAGGCTGAGGTACTATCTCCTTTTATAGGATATAATGTGCGAAGCAATTCAGAATATATCTATTTTGCCCACTTATCTCATCCGCCGATTCTCGCAGAACGTCTACATTTTGAACACGTGTCGATCAGAGCAATTGCCCACTAGATTCAAAATGGAACGTACTTAATTCGAATGGAATTCTGACTATAGCATATGAGGCCCTAAAAAGGTGCAAAAGGCTTCAGTGGATTCTGTCCATTACTGTTCTTGGACCTAGGACTAACTTGATTTGGATTCCTAAATTCAGCCATTGTTTATTTCATTGCGATGAAAATGTTTGTGATGACTGACGAAGAGCACTAAACAGTTGTTTCCTTTTGTTGTTTTCCGACCTATAGTCTCGAGGTATCGGTTATGGATACCCCACACTGGTTAGATTTATCTGGTAATCGGTTATCTTAAGATTTATTATTGTAAGCTGAAGCATTTCACGTGGTTTGAGATTATCATCATTTGAGGAGGGGTGACCTTTAGCTTGCCGAGACACTGCGTTAAATAGTAGACAAAAGATCACTCAAATAAACCTCCGAAGGGCTGCTGTGAACAACCTTTCAGCTAATCCTTCTTGATACGGCATGCAGAAACTGAGGGGCATAACCAAGAACGTGCCTAACAAAGTCTTTGAAGGATTCCTGAGGGTGAATTCGAATCAGATTACGGATTCACTGAAGTTAGTGTTCTCTCCATACACGATAGTAATGGAGGATTTGCTTCAACTTCAAAGAAGTGATAACAACAAAAAGCTCCCAAAGATGTGTTGTGCAATATCGTGTAAATGGAGAATGAAAGGCGGTTTGATCAGCTACCCGCTTTTGGCGGTTGTGGCCCACTTCGCTGATACCGGTCACCAGACAAACAGTGTTACATGCGAAGCAATCCACAAGGAGTCCACAAAAAATCTAACTGCGTTCAGCAACGTCTCTTTGCGGTTAAAAAAGCGGTCAGAATCAAAATCCTGATCCCACCACTGCGCAGACAAGAGAAACCAGTTGTCGCGATCCAGTTACTTTTACCCGCTCCAATTCACGTGACGAACCGAATCATGACCTCAATCAAGTCTGGATGACGCAACATGGTATGACTGGTTACGCGTGTATAGAGGTCATCGGAAATTTCCAGAAGAACGTTGATTTACAGCCGATTCAAAGTGGAATATTTGTAGAAAAATAAAAATTTTCTCCAATTTTCGAGGAATCTCTCCTTTTATTATTCTCTCTCTCTCTCTCGAGTTGTTAAGTTACGGCCCAGATATGGGACCGAATTTTGTCCAGAGATTTATGCAGGGTGAAATGTTTCGGAATTCGCACCACATTGATCAGTGAGAACAAATTAACTCAGATCATTACGTGAGAGGGTGCGAGATCTAGAAAAGCGAAACGTATATAGAATATTTCCTTTTTATTACGCAGGTTTGCTTTGCGACGGTTGAACAGAACTAAAGAAGCAGGATTCATGACTTCGGTACTGAAACTCAGAGGTCGGTTGATGTGCACACTGATGCGAAAATAACCAGTGTTCGGTATCGCTCATTACATTATGGGAAGTTGGCGCATCATTTATGCGTAAGCGTATGCATTGATTTGCATCGGATGAATATAGTCCGAGTACAAATCTCAAACAAGGCACTTCCAGATGAGATCAATCGGTCTATTTTAGATAATCAAGGGTTAATCAAAACAGGACGTAGGAACGCGATATTGATACTACTCATTGATGCTGATATCTGTCAAGTGAGTGCATGTGAGGGATAACAGGTTGAAAAATCTTTATCCACAAAACCAAAACTGAAGTATTGTATTGTATTGTGTATAACTTTTACAAGCACTGGAGCGCACATTTCAGTTAAAAAATCATACAAGCTAACCGTCACAAGAACATAATCAACGGGGAGAAAAGTTTTCGCAGGCATGGAGACATTCATAATCCAAGGTTAAGACAAAGTTCACTCATTGTTCGCTCTTTTTTTGTGAGTAGACGAGCAAGATACGGTATGGGTGAATTGCGGTATGTATTAATTCGAGATGTTATTTGACGAAATTGGGAGCGTGTTGAATGATGGGAATGACAGTGTCAGTTCTGCATACAATGGGTGGTCCGGATCTGTGAGGATCCTCTCG